TTCGTCAGTTCCATTCTGGACATCCAGGAATCAACCGTATGAAGTCAATAGCTCGCAGTTACGCATACTGGCCGCACATGGACCAGCACATCACTGATTTTGTAAAACGCTGCTCCCGATGTCAACAAGCTTCAAAGAATCCGCCACACCAACCACCGGTTCCCTGGCCTCGACCTGAAAAGCCCTGGTCTCGGATCCACATTGATTACGCAGGACCGATAAATGGCACTTTTTATTTGGTTTTGATTGACGCTTTTTCCAAGTGGCCAGAAATCATTCCGGTGTCATCTCCAACAACATCTAGTACGCTGAGAGTGTTATCCAACATTTTCAGTCAGCATGGATTACCGGAGTCCATAGTCTCAGACAATGGTTCGCAGTTCACCTCTGCTGAGTTCCGCGACTTCTGCACTCGACATGCGATAACACACGTTCGTTCACCACCGTACCACCCACAATCGAACGGTCAAGCAGAAAGGTTCGTCGACACATTCAAGAGGGCTTTGCTTAAAGCTCGAGGGGAGGAGACATCCGTCGAAGCCCTTCAGAGATTCCTGTTTGTGTACCGAACGACCCCGAATGACGCTTTGGCAAACCACCAGTCACCTGCAGAGGCACTCATGGGCCGTAAACTTAGAACTGTGCATTCTTCCATGTTGCCAACACAACCTACTGAGTCAAGGTCCATACCGGTGGCAGTTGGAACCCCATTCAAGGTGAAAACGCCCCTGCTTGTCCGTGACTATCGCTCAGAACATGATTCATGGATTGCAGGTCGTATCCTGCGCAAACGCGGTAGTGTAATGTACGACGTGTCGGTTGGTCAAGACACCTGGATCAGACATCAAAACCAACTCCGCTTTAACAGCACGCCGGAAACTCAAGTATGTTTGGGTACAGTACCGTTGGACATATCGCTCGATACTTTTGAGCTGAAAACTGAGACAGCTTCGAAAGAGGAGAGTGTGACTGGCAGCTCAGTAATTAATTCAACACTTCTTCCCAGGCGGTGGACAGATCGACGCCGCCGCCAGCCGGAACGTATCCAGGTCGAACCTCGTCGAGTATGTTACTGACTTTTCACAAGGGGAGTTGTTGTGGATATCAGTATCCCCCTAAAAACGCCGTATTTTTCTGTGTGCTAGCGAACTTCCGGCATCTTCAAGGTCAAACTATGAATAAATCAATGGCCTATTGATATTCCAAGAAACTTAAATCCGACCACTTACTTACACGATACCATCTTTTTACTGACTTGGGTTCGGAAGCTCGGGGCATCGCCTGTTGATCGCGTGTTTTTGGATCATTAAGTAGTCTGGATCAAGCAACAGAAATGGGGATGGAGTATTGCCACAATCCGCATATAATATTGTTTGCTCGCTGCGTGACCGAACCGTAACAGAACTTCCGGTGGAAAGAGCACAGAATAATCCGGAAGACAGTTATCTAAAAAATTTTTGGAGCAAATCCTGAAGAACTCAGTCCCCAATGGCTAGAAATCTGTTTCCAGTGAAATCGCCCGCCCCTTGGTTGTCTGCAGAGAGTAACAAAAAGGTTATTCGAGGTCACAAGGTGGAAAAACAAAGTCGGTCCTTCGAGTCTCCTGTAACCACCAGGAAATGGACTTCACAAGAAACGCAAGTTGTACAGAAAACACCCGTCGACATGTCTTAATTTTGGTTTTAAATGTAGCTACTCGGATAATAAGATCGCGCAAAATATTTGACTCAAAACTGGCTTTCGTTAATACTCCTTCTTCTATCATGGAGATCGCCCTGGCTTTTTTCCTGCAGTTGGCGTCTAAAATCCGAATACTCTTGTGGAACTTACCTCAGAAAAATGTGACAAGCAGGTCTGTCGGTGCGTTTGCTCGAAACAACCACACAACTACGAATGAATGATCGAAACCCACTACCATCATCTCAATCAGGGGCAGCAACTTCAGTGCTGCCGTAGAACCATAACGGTCATCTTATTATATCTAATGATTCAGAGTGAAAAGAAGAGAAAAAGATTGGGCGCTTGCTTGTGCCAACCATTCTGAGGTGCGTGCACTTCCAAGCGCTCAGTCAGACAATCTGAAAAAAGCTGACAAACACGAACGCCATCGACACCGAGTCGTTGATCAGCTGCCCTCTCTTCCAATGTATCCTGCAAACTGTAAGCGGGGTCAAACGTTGTCCACCTCGTTGTTTGCACCGTTCTGGAGAAGGTACGGAGAACAGCACTCGTTTCGCAAGACGGTGTTTTGGCATGCGTGGCACATGACTAAGCCACCGCAATTGATGGCGCTGAATGTTCTCCGCGGTCGACACACCTGCTGCACGACCAAATGGCCACTATATAGTCACTTGTAACTAGTGCGTTGACGTCATCCAAATCCAGCAACGCTTCTGAGGCATCGGTGGTCAAATGCCTGTAGACACTTCACGTCGTCTGTGGGCAGTGGCCACGTCTCATAGCCACACATCAACACAGCCTTCACTATGGCCTAGTACAGGCAACCATTGAGACCTAGTGATATGGATTTTGACGCTACAAGTGACGCCAACTAGCGAACACTGTTTCAGCCTTTGAGATTCTTGCACTGACTTTATCAGACACAATGCCGTCAGAGCTAATACGACTACCGCAGCCTGCATAGTTCCCTATAACCTTCAGTTATCCCCTCTGAATTGTTAAATTTATTTCCAGCGACTATACGTTATGAAGAATGACTTCAATCTGAAGGTACTGGTATGATGTTAGCCAGCCTATACAACAAGGCATTTGCTTCGCCTTGATCTTCCAAGATGGGGGTGATATCGTTTGAATACTGCAGATCGAGAAGGCTCCCGTCAGCAATAATTTCAACAGTGGGGTTTTGAAGACGATCCAGCGTTCGCTGCATTGTATCATCAATGAAGAAGTTGAAAGAAATGGAAGAATAGGACATGATTTTCGGAGACCACTTTTTTCTGGGAAATTTTTGGAGGACTTGCCATACACTCTAATCCGCTCAGAAGCACATGAATATAGGGGTCGGATTATGTTCACAAACTTCTGAAGCATGCCAGGATTTTTTGTCTCTTCCATTTTTTCGGCCCTTCGGGCCCACTGAGCTACTCGGTCTGTATGAACACTTACTTTCATCCGACGTCGGATGATGCGTCGGGTGTAGTTGTGGTTGCGGCCCGTGGTGTTCCGTCGCCGGGCTTTCAGAAAAGATTGGTCCTATCAGAGATGCAGTGCCGGGATGAGGTTGACTAGGTTGTACCGCAGACTGTAGCTTCGTGTTCGAGCAGCGCTTCGGATATCTTTCACCAGTGATTGTTGATATCCGATATAGGACGGTCCGGGGGGCGATTTTGATAGTTTTGTTCGATTTCTGGATCCATTAGCTTCTTAGCGGCTAAGCAAGGTGCGCGCGTTTTGTGGAGACCTAAAAAGCGCAATGAAAGTCACCAGGGTATAAGTGCGTGTCTGAATTCCGCGATAGTGTTCCAGAAGGAGCGGCAAGCAGTGACCGACCTTCCCTACCGATAACTGACACCGATGTGACCGATTTGGATTCAGGGGAGGTTGGTAGTTGGGCACAACGTCACCAAGCGATTTTCGCTGTTCCGAAAGTTGGTACTGCAAGAACTACTCTGTGCTAGAGTGGACGACCACCGTTGTCCGTGAGTCCCGTGTCCAATCCAAGACAACGACCCAAAAGAGCACCTATAGCATCATAAAACTGTCGTTGGAATATTCAGTGTCACAGGCTACAGTACGTTGCGGTGTAAGTAGACACAGTAAACAGGATCTGATGAACCTTATTTCCTCGTGATTATCTCTTAGAAGCTGGTATAAACAGGTATCCAATCAAACAGAGACGCTTCCTCCCGTTCGCTCAATACACTACCCGCCCCAGCATATCCAGCTGTAGCGGCCTCTGCACCACCAGATTTGAGCAGCCGGGACCTCGGAGAGGGCGGAGGGACATTCATTTTGATCACAGTGCCTGCGTCCTGGTTTCTGACAAGCAACATACATTAATTCGGAGGAAATCCACCTGTTGTCCTGCTTGCTTCTATGTGCGAACATTGAAGGCTGCCAAGTAGACAGGCTTTTGGAGTTTGAAATCACACTTCGAAGTGTTTAGGGTTTTTACTGAAATCGAACGTACAGAAATTGCGTCTGAGACTAACGCATGGCGAAGAAAGTAATGAGCCCTCGTGCCGAGATCTGCGGAGTGAGTATTCAACATAGAAGTGGTTGGGGTAGAATAGTGAATACGTGAATTTTCAAAAAGGGGGACGTCAGTGGTAGGAAGTTTCCGCCAACCCGTTCTGCTCTATGCAGCATTTAAGACGACCCATCTGGTCACGGCCGATGTGGCATAAGAGTATTGTTACTTTTAAGTATCATGGTTGGGCGAGGGCCGGGGTGCTGCCGTGGTGCCCAGACCTAGACAGGAGAATGTCTGGGGTGCCCAACCAAAACCTTTGGCCCAAAGTCCTAACCGTAAGGCACATGTGTTTGGTTGGAAATGCAAGTGCATCGGGCAATTCGCCACACGTGTTCTGCCCCCAACATGAAGAGCAAGTAGACTGTTTGGCAGACATCTTACCACCGACAAACCTGGTACGAGAGAGCTGTGAGTGTCACACGGACACCACTCAGTATAGCTCAAAGGGTCACGGAGTCAGACAGGCATTCACACGACATTAAGGGTTAACCTATTTGTGACTTTTCGGAATCTACACTGGTGCTACAAAACGATTGGAAAGTGTTGAACTTTGTTGAACAAACATGTTATTGGTCGCTGGGAAGGTTTAACTGACAAAAATGACCGTCGCATTTTCTGTTTTCAAACGCAGTTTTCTAACTAATCAATTAAAACGGCGAAAATATTCGCCAAGTTGGACAGAGGAACATGATACTTCCCGAAAGTTCCATCCCGTATTTTCGCACAGGATTTGAAGAAATTAAAGCCCAATCAAAGCGTTTTTGAAAAAAAACACTGCAGATTTATATGGTTGTGGTAAACATTCAGAGTCAATCCGAACATGTTAAGTGTAGCAGTACAACCGCAGCACCTGTGCGAGGCATCTTCAGTTGTTCTGGGGCGAACGTCCACTGATTGCGGCATGGGTCGTAGCGTTCTATCGAAGTCAGTTCCTCAGTTAGTCGATTGTTTCCCCCAACGGCGTACAGAGAACCGCCGTGAGCAACCAGACCTGGGAAACGAATGACAGCAATTGAAACCACTGCGGTGTAGCGAACCTCATAGAAGCACATTTTTACCGAAGAATTATACATATTAGGAGAATCAGCTCCTACCCTAACTGGACTACACAACTGCCAATGGGATAACCGTTTTCGTTGAGACAAATTTGATTGGTCGTTCTTCACTTGTCCTTGAGTTCTATTTTTAGTATCAGTTTTTGGCTCGCCTAGAACTTTCCACGTGAGCTTTATAAACAGCCGGCTGCACATGACGCGCCTGTCGCGTCAGTTTTCAATAGATCGATCAGCTGATTCACATGTTCATTGGCTTTCTGATTTGGCCAGGCGCATCAGACGGCTATTAAGCGGCTATCCAGACTCGTGTTCACGGTTTTACGAAGACATTAAGAAAATTGTGGTCCAAAACGCTACATCCTACTTTGAACCTATATAAGTATATACGTTTCACGAATCACCAAGGAGATCGAAATTCGGCATCTCCTGGCTATTAGCTGGAGACTAAACCATACGGCTTCGAGCGAGCGGTCAGAAATGCGATTAACTCGCATGTAGCTAGGTTAAACCGCCACTCGTTAGTCGCTTCTCCTGTCTTCATGTCCATCGAATCATGCGATTTTTGATAAACTGAGGTCTTCACCCTCGGTTTTTTTATTCTAGAGTTCTATAGGTCACCTTTATTTACAAAGACGAGCCTCCAAATCACAGGGAGTTTGATTTCAAACTTGTGGTAACTTGACAATATGTGTTGCAAAAACCGTTCCCTCACAACCTGCTCAAGCCAGTTTAAGCGGATTTCGAATACTAAAGGCAGTTTCTGGTTCGTTTTGTAAGCTAGGTTTTGCTTTTAGTTTCGAAACCCTTCTCAAAAACAATAAGATCAACTCGTAATGTGCTACTCATGTGGCCGCTGAAAAGTATTCAACAGCCTAAGACCTCCTTCGCCCTGCTTTGGGTTGATCAGATGGGCTTTCCCCACTCTGTCGTTTTCTTTGAAATGGACTATCATAAATGGACGATTCAGATGAATTAGGCTGGGTCTCTTGTCAAAGCCAACTTCGTGTGCAAATGAGTGTCTACCCCGAGCGATAAGCTCAGTTTTAACAGAAGTGAAAACGGCTATTTTCTCACTTCCCCCCACTATCACTTACGTCAGTCTGTCTGTCTCATCGATTTGTACGTGATGTTAGAGAAATTGATCACGTTCTTCATTATATTCTCACTGGAAATGACCATCAATGATTTCTCTTCTCGATAAACACAACGCAATGGACGCCAGATTAAAGAATCTGTGATTTGATGAATTACTGACGTTGTTTAGAAATTATGGGGTTGTTTGAAGACTGCGCCTACCTGATGAGCCCCAAGGAGGGCGAAACCGGTCGTGGGCCGTCGACGAAGTTTCAGCAACCTTATGAGTAGTGCGTTACGAATATAAATGTATGAAGACCTTTTCCATTTTGCTTTAGTCGAACTAGTTTTCAGTGGAACACACACCACATATTATCCTTAGACGACAGGAAATCTTGTCCTATGTGGGTGTATATCTGGCGCGTTGTGTGTGTGTGTCGGTGATGTCATTTTTATTGCAGGTTATGTGATTTCAAGTGTTCCACTGAAACCATTCTTTGACGACTGACAGTTTCAACATAGGACTGACTATACTGTGACTTAAGAGGACGTACAAATGTGTCGCGCTGGAAGCAGCGATGGTGAACTTTATTTTGCTCTTGTCTCACTCACGGAAAATAAGAGCAAACTAGTTGAGCTCTGTTTTTCGATGTCACAAAGTTGGATCGTTGGAAAAAGGAATCAGCACAGGCGAGTGTATTGGTAAAGTAGCCTCTGATGGCTCGGAGTTGCAATTACCCAATTGTTTGCAATGCACTACTCATAATTTTGCTGAAAATTCGTCGACAGTTCACGATCGGTTTCGCTTTCCCTGGGAGTAATTAAGTAGGCGCAATTCCGAGTTTCCGTCAACTTTCTGTTCTACTTGAAACAAAATTGCACGAAATTAACGAAATACACTAATTTGGTTCTGCAAGAGACTCACGTGGAACATAAGGTGGCCTAATGCGGCACGTTCAGTTGCCTGGAAACATCACAAACGAGAGAGTCCGCTGGGTTCCAGGCGAGTCTCTTGCGAGACCAATTTAGTTTGCAAATGAGTGTATTTCATTACCCGACTGGTAATTTGCAAAGATAGATAAACGTGCTTCATTCGGTACGCTATTCGAGCCATACAGATGTAGTTCCCTGAGATGTCAGTACACCACTTATAAATATTGAATGAACAGTGCTCGTGTAGAACCCTATAAGTAAAGTGTCAGAAAATTCTTTTTTTTCAGCTTCTTGACAGCGCCTTTGTCAATACCTGCATTGCTTAGACTTCCCCCTGAGACACAACATTAGGGTCAGCAATTTTCGTGAGCTAGTCAAAAGTCGGTATTGTAAGCAGCATTTAGGTAGCAATGTGAATAAAAAAGAACGATGCTTTGACAAGAAAAACCCCGTTTCCATCACAACGATGAGATATATCATATGCTATATTTTGTCTACTGTTCACGTGTTACCTATACTGTGTACGTCATCAATCGCTTCACTTTTGGTCGATTTTTGACGCCTACCTAGATTTTTTCACACATCCCACCGTTTATTGAGCTGGGTGTTTGTCATCACGCCAGCTGATAGCTGATAAAATCATCTGCGAGTCTGTTTGCCAATCATATTCCTCCTGGTCAATATGAAAATCCATAGGGTTACACACACAAGCGCATGTGACCACACTCGATCAATCCATAGTATTTGCACACGTCCGCCGCTATACCCACTTCCAACGGATATCGCAAAGAAAACAAGAAATCACTTAGTAAGAGTGTTTTCTACATCCACCGAAACGGGGTCCGGCTCTCGGCCATCCAACATTTAGTGTGAGTACTTTAGCATACTTGTATCTTGTGTTGTGTGATGTGTACATATTGATACTCGAAAAGCACATGTGATATGCCCGAAGCCCGTCAAAACGGTGACCTGGGAGATAGTACGTTAGCATTTTCCCTGCTAAATCATTCTACTGCACAAAAGTGAACAAACGGAACATTGCCTAATATGATACCACTCGGTGTTTCCAAGCGAGCAAGAAAGGCGCTTTATAAGTGTTTGCGTTTGAGGAGACAAACAGACAAACAGCTCCCCTTGTAAGATAATCTCCGCGTTGATAAATCTTGATAGCTAAATCCATCGCAGTTGAGACCATAACACTTTCTGGCCCCAGTCATTGGAGTACACTCGATTTCGACGAATCTGCTGCCTATAGAAAGCTGATACTGTTGAGAAGATTGGCTATGATAGAATTCTTTTTTGTTAACTACTAATAACTTAACAAGTAGTATATTATTTTAAATTTTAGGGAAACAGTGGTACTGTTACATTGTCATTGTACTGGTACGTTGTCAAGGCATGCCTCGTCTATCTTCCAGTGTTTTTCATTCAGAGATCACGTTCAGGGATCATGTGCATATATCTGTCAGTACACAATCTTTGGGTGCACCGTGACTTAGATAAGTGATCATTTTTGTGGAGATTTCGTCCTGTAAGTGAAGCCAATCTATGCTGAAAAGCCGAGAAGCACTGTACAGCTGTTTCATCCTTATTGGGAATCATCAGCAGTGCGCATCTCACGAAACTCCGAAGAGTCTCGAACCCGCGACCTCCCGGCTACTGGAACCGGCGACGTCCCGGCTAGTAGCTTGAACACTTGACCGTTCTGCCACGAGTGGCTGATCAGCAGTGTGATTAACTCGCACTTAGACAGGATATAGCGCCGCTCATCCTTGAATCACGGGATCCACATCACGCGGTCTCACTTGTTGACTGGCTCCTCGAGCAACGACTTCTCTGATAGAAGTTTCACTCATCGGGTGAAGTTTGTTCTTCCACTGAGCTACTTATATATTGTGGGTGGTGTGAGGAGATTTGGGATATTTTGTGTGGGATTTCGTCCTGTAAGTGAAGCCAATCTATGCTGAACAGCCGAGAAGCACTGTACAGCTGTTTCATCCTTATTGGGAATCATCAGCAGTGCGCATCTCACGAAACTCCGAATAGTCTGGAACCCGCGACCTCCCGGCTAGTAGTTTGAACAGTTTGAAGTTTATTCACCCGATGAGTGAAGCTTCTATCTGAGAAGTCGTTGCTCGAGGAGCCAGTCAACACGTGTGACCGTGTGATGTGGATCCCGTGATTGAAGGATGAGCGGCGCTGTATCCTGTCTATGTGCGAGTTAATCACATTGCTGATCAGCCACTCGTGGCCGAACGGTCAAGTGTTCAAGCTACTAGCCGGGAGGTCGCGGGTTCGAGACTCTTCGGAGTTTCGTGAGATGCGCACTGCTGATGATTCCCAATAAGGATGAAACAGCTGTACAGTGCTTCTCGGCTTTTCAGCATAGATTGGCTTCAATTACAGGACGAAATCTCCACAAAAATCCCAAATCTCCTCACACTACCAACAATAAGTAATCATGTGATTTACCCCCAAATAGATCCTGCAGAACAATTTTAATAGCTGTATTGTGTGATGGAGTGATGAGTTCACAAGAATGCGCCTATCATAATCAGACGAAGTTAACCAGACTTTCACAAGAATGCCGGTTCACTTCTCGCAAGCAAAGTGAAAGCAATATAAAATGATTCAAACACAGTGAATGGACTCACACTGGGTTACAATATGGGTACGGAACTCACAAGGCCAAAAATCGATTCATTTTGTACAACTAATGGTCATTTTACACTCATTTGTATGTAATTTCGGTCAGTCCCGGTAGTAATTCGACAATCGGTCGGGCTTTCGTGGGAAATGCAACACATGCTTGTGAGACAAATTAAGATTCGTCAAAAACTTCCCTAGGTGCGATATGTTTATTAGTTCCTCTTATCTAGCCAATAATTTCTTCTGCCGTACTTTTGATACAGGATTGTAGAATGTAGCCACAGTATATCGCAGACCAAACTAGGAAATAAACTGATAACTACGAAATTCTTGCTTGAGTGAGGCTTCATATTATGTGAGTTGGTCGATTAGAAACGCCAATCTCAGTAGCTCAGATTGATTCAGCCAATCATAGCATTTTTCAACGTCAATTTTTGAGCATAAATCATTCGTCTTTCAAGTTGACTGCCTCAGGAACGCGCTGATTACGCCATGAAGAGAAAAATGATTTTCTCGAAAAAAACTACCCAAAGAATCGTTGGCGACCATTAGGGTGAGCGGCGATTTGATCGAGAACAACTCAGTAACGACAACATGTAAAATAGGGAACATGGTAATATTGATTTTTGAAGAGTTGGTTGAGTATAGAAATGATTATAACTCTTACCTCTCCTGAGAAACTTACCAAATCTCCATCGCCGTTGGCTCATTGGTGCGATAGATTGCCAACTATTTGTGTTTACGTTGTAAAATGCAGCAGAGTCAGTGACCACACCAGTTTCCGTCCGACCTCCCGCTACATAGAGCCGGTTACCCAGTACACATGCTCCAGCCTCACTAAGTCTGTGTGGAGAGAAAGCGGCAAATTAATGCAGTTCACAGACTGTACAGCTAAGATGGAGAATTACCAGTCAAACCTGTATAAGGACAGCCTCATGTCGACACTCATTCAACCATAGTGGGACACGTTAAACAGTAGTCTAGCAATGCAGTGGTACTCACGGTGTCGCTATGGAGGCAATAATAGTCCACGAATCGGTCCGTGGTTGATAACATTCCACAATGGACAACATGCCCTCATCCCATCCACCAACAGTATAGACTTCTTCCTGGGTCGCTGCAACAGCCAGATCACGTCTTGGGCGGGACATTGGAGCAACCAGCCGCCACAGTTGTGACAAAGGTTCAAAGACTTCTGTGGTTGCAAGTTTGCCATCTGAAAAGACAAGGTAGACTTCATTGTTTCGGAGAGACTTGGTAAATATTTCGTGGATTTGTCACTCAGCAAAGTCCCGCTTTTGGCACAAGAGCTTCATCAGGCCAAGTGAAGGAGTGACCAGTATAAGGGAGCTTTTAGGCAGTCAATGAACGGATCGGTGAGATCTCTTACGACTAGAAGACGTGATCAGTGCTTGGTGTCAGTCTGTAGTCCCTGTTTGTTGATTAGTTCGGATGTGCAGCACTTAGATGGGATTCCCTTCGAGCACTGGTTTATCTGCCTAGGACGTCTTATTTGGATCATTCCCTCTGAATGTCGCTCACAGATTTTGTCGGTTTATGGATACCAGGAAGGTCAGCTTCCGGAAAGCAACCACTGAATGCCCGAAATCTACCGAGACTCTCAGCTCCGCTAGATGTTGACCAGACAGACAACATCCCCCCCCAGCATGCAGCGCATCACAGCCTTGTATCAAACCCAGACAGCGCGAGTCAGCGTTGATCAAGGTCAGACAACGCCCCCGCAATATGCAGCGCGTCGCAGCCTCGTACCAAAGCCAGACTGCCTGCGTCAGCACTGGACCAAGTTCAGGCAGTGTCCCTCCAATAAATTGCTTGAGACCGTTGTATTTTCGTACTCACACGCACTCACGCTCACGCTCTCGCACTCGCTTGTTCGGAATATAGCCTTTGTGTTCCCTTCTGTGAGCCTTTTTTCGTCACTAAACGCTGGAGCGGGGTCAGCAGCAGATATCGCAGATTGGCGAATCAGTAGATATAACAGTGGGTGTTAACTGGTGCCAAGCGAGCTGGGGTTGGCTGTGGGGGGACTAAATGGTTTGTACTGTTTGGCCTTTGTGCTTTTGGACTCAAAACATGTCAGCAACCTGACTTGCATAAAGACAGTGGGATGCAATATTTGTTGGATTGGGTCCAGTGACACTTTGCTCAGGGTGAGAACTCTGGATCACGTGTCTGCGCAACTGGCGATAAGCAGTTGGGGCACAATTCTGGATTTTGATCACTACTGATCATTTCGCACAATCACCTGATTACTGGTAATTCGATGGAAATTTCTGTTGGATTAGGTACTAATTTTTGCGGGGGACATCATAAGTACCGATCAATGATTTTTTTTAAAATTTAACCCGATGTTTAACAAAAGGCGGGGGCGAGATAACCTAAGAGCACGAACCTACTGATCGGAAGGTTCAGGGTTAGAACCCGACCTCTATCTCTCGACTTCCCCTCTCTAGGCTTGGACAACCCGGCAGTATCCCAGCCCTCGTGCAAACTTCGGATGTCATGGCAGTTAGGCACCGAAAGGGTGCTACAGCTGAACGATTTTTTTGACAAAAGGGTGTCGTGAGATGCCGAACACTCAAGCCGACAGAGCTCTTTCGTATTTCTGGTGGCTCATATGACAGTCCCTGGGCCAAACATTCGCCGACTTTTTTGTGTAGCTGATGTATTCGAGTTGAGGTTCGAAATTTCCATCTGAAAAAACGAAAGATGAATTCTACAAGCCCACGACAATTCTTGTTCTTGATTTCACCCATCTGTTGTGTTTAGCTTGCTTTAGTTTGGGCTAATCTTGTTTAATCTAATTAGCTCGGTAAAAAAACCTACTTTGTCATCCTTCTGGAAATCAAACATCGACATCTTCAAAAAGATGTCCGGAGACCTGGCCGGTGGACCGCGCACCCCAAAACATTCAGATAAATGCACAAATGGGCTGGCTTCTAAGACGAACCATTGCTGTAATGCTTTTGGAAATTGTAGTTTGCATTTATTCTGGTAACGAGCCGACCAGGAGCGCTGAGCAGGAGGATGGTGGGACGCAGAAATTTCTTATTAACTAGCATCAAACAAGTCCTTCTTCACAAAGCTACCGTTTCCGCCCAAAGATTTATCAGGAAAAACATATTCACAAGCCGCTTAGATTGGAACTTCCTAACTTTCTGAATCAGTCACCTGACCAAACTGAGTTTGAGTTACAGAGTAACTGGTTGAGTCCGAATGGCTAACGATGCACACGTTTGTCAGAGTGGACTTCAGATCAAGAAAATAACTCGTTAGGTCTATTAGGCCACTTCCAAGACAGTCCAGGAACTGGTCAATGAGATTTATTCCAGCTAGCAGATTAACACAATAGTTGTTGAGTAACGGACAAACTCCGTGTGGGGGAGAAGCTCCCACGGTTACCGGGTTAGAATTTTATGGGTCGAGAAGTAGTACGATAACCTGGTTGGGGGGAGGGGGGAGGAGATGGCATGGAATCTCACAGGTTTGCGCTTTTTACTTTCGATCGAAATAAGCTTTTTCGACATTCCTTCTTTACTGATAACCAAGAGCACTCAGGTCTCGATCCGATCGATCTAAAAAAATTTTTCAAATGCTTCTCTATTCTGGCCGATTGTTCTATTTGTACTGTGGTACTTTTCACGTTACTTTGTCACCAGTTGCTGTGCTGAAGTTTTATCTCCTTGCCTAAGACGTCCATATTTTAGAACAAGAACTGGGTGAAATCGTCCGAAAATTTAACAGTGGACGCTTTTGGCCTTGAACCATAAGCTGTCAAGGATCTTAGATACAACCGTATAAATGAGAATAAATCCAGCAGCTGTTTTCAATAGGCCATAAGAAGGAGAGGCTTTTTAGCCTGTATTAATGTATCGTGCAAGAGCCAGTTGGATTTTTTGCAAGAGAACACAAGGCATGTTTAAACTAAAACGTTTTTGTGGTTTCAGCCTGCCTCGGTTCCATTGATTTGTAGAACAGTACGCGTTCCATGAGTTGGAAATCCATTTGGGGACAAACTGGTACAAGTTAGTAAGCGAATGAAGTTAGTATGCCGGTAGCTTTGCACTTGACGAAGTTGCACAATACAGTCTGTCTGATTCCGGCAGCTGTCCTCACCCTAGCAGAAGGAGTAAGCGGTCACTGACTCACCCAGCACTGGCTTGTCCCTGAGCAGTGCGCTTCGCATCAGACTTGTGGTTAGTAGTTCCAACCATTTACTCAGAAAATAAAGCCAATTTATGCTGGAAATCCGATAGGTGAGCTAATCACCCTGCCGATCAGTCATTCGTGGCCTAATCGTTCACAGATCTCCTCACACTACCATAAATGTCCTCTCAGCGTTGAGCTAATCAACTCAGTTGCCGTTTGAGCATCACACTTAGGAAATCCGGATCAGTTCAATTTGTGTTTTCAACCCTACTCATTCTAATGAACAGTCTTCAGTTCTCATCCATCGCAATCAGAAGACTTCAATCAGTCGATCATCACAACCGTGGCGGTTGCAGTTATTCACAAACGAATCACACCACTCGAATGTGAATGCGCTGTATCTGTTGGCTGGGTGATAGCGATGCCCTCGGTCCACACTGTTGTGGACCACAGTCTCCTTATTGCCTTCATATTTCGCTGAACAGAGGTCTGGATAGCATATTGATCGCCTGGTTCGCTTGGCCAATGAACGTGCGAGCCAGCTGCGCAATCGATCACTGTCGCGTACAAGCGGGTCAAAAAAAGTGATACTAAGAATACAACTCATCTGACAAGGGCGAGTGGAAAATAACCAATGAAATATGTCTCAACGAAAACGGTTATTCCATTGGCTGTTCTGTAGTCCCGTTACGTTTGGAGCTGGTTCTCAGAGTTCAAATCCCAACGCTGATGGTGGGCTCCAATAAGAGCGGAACTCCTGCTTCTTGGTAGATGTGATAACAGTAGGAAGTTTAATAAAATTAGGCAAAAATGTACAAACTCTAGCAAACCTTCAAATTGGTTTTTGGTTATTGGTTTTTGGTTCAAACAAATAATGGCATAGTATCGGCCTCACTGGGTGGAACTGGTATTAGCCAAACGAGCGGTTTGCTGGCACAAAATTCTATTTTGGTTCAGCTCATTGTGCGAACATTTTCATTGAGAATTAATCACACCAGGCACAAAAGTAGGCACAATCGGATTTGAGAATGCCTACCGCAAAAATGTCCAAATCGTTCTATCAACAATGAGTTGTAGCTGTCTAAATATATACGATGCGCTTGTCCGACTGTCATTACTTACGGATGTCTCATAATAGACGCAAAATTAGTTTGGGTGAGTAAACGTAGTCAGTTAGAAAATGGATAACAAAATTTTTTTCATCATTAGTAGCCACATCAAAGAGGTTTCAAGTGCAAGTGTTTTCATTTTTGTCATCACGGATGTTAGTACGCGCATTAAAATTGTGAAACTGTATTATTCCCTTGATGAAAGCGCCATCACTGCACATCCTGGTTACAAAACCAAACATGGTCTCACCAAAGATACTTTCACCGTATCAACCATTACAAGCTTGATTGCAGAATGTGAGTCCACTGGATCTGTATTGGATTTTCGTGGCAAGGGGAAAAGTATCTGAATGATGAAAGAGCGCCCATTGTACAGAATGCCGTCGAGCAACTTCAGTCCCAGAGCACCATGGCATCTCCGTCAATAACTCGGGTGTCTCAGTTGACCGGCATTCATCGCGCTAGCGTGCATCGTATTATGGGACGCCACCTTCATCTCTACCCGTGGAAGGAAGAAGGCCTTCGCTGTGGACTTACTTGTTTGCAAGTGCCAACTGGCCGGCTACAGACCATTGGACAGGGAAGCAAAATTCTAATTCACATCTTATTTACAAAAACTGGACGTCCATCTTCTCCTGAACACGACTTCTTGAACTTTCCTGGAGATTCATTGACTCCAATCATTCCTCGCTCAACTCCAACCAAATGTTACAAAGCGACTCCACAAATTCCGCAACAGATCTCCCCTTTTCAAAAGACGTAAAGCGAAATTCCAGGAACAACACATACTACTCGCATGCCTTCCCATCAGTAGTGTCAGCGTTACACCCGCATCATTTCACTTTATTACAAAACACCACGTAAGAAGACAAGGGGCAACGCGTCTCGTTCGCTAACTGGCTGCTAGACAATGAAGAAATCGTTCCCAACATTTTATAGAGCGATGAAGCAAATTTTTCTGTGGATGGCATAACCGACAAGCACAATTGCGTGAAATGGTCCCGTAAAGCTCCTCACGAGTACCTTACTCTTAATCTCCATTCACCTCATCTCTGTGTGTGGATGGGGTTCTCCTCAAAGTGTCTCCTGCGTCCCTTTGTCTTTATTGCTACGGTTTCCGGCGACAGTTACTTCCATATGTTGCAGACGCATGTTGTCCCGCAACTCAAGCAGCACGAGAAGTCATCGACCGTCTTTCAACAAGATGGCACTCCACTCCACTATTCATACCAAATGAGAACTTACCTCCGAGAGCAATTTTCCGATGAGAGAGCCATTGCTTGTGGATTTCCAAACTTTTGGCCGCAAGGTCACCCGATCTAACACCTCTGGATTATTGGTTTTAGGGAATGATCAAGGCTTGCGTACATTATGAAAATAAACCGAAGAATTTGGTGGAGTTAAGAGCCAGAATCGAAGAGTGTGCACGAGTGACGCTTGAAAAAGATAAACATGCTGTGTCTCACATCTCATACCGCCTCCAACTTGTTATAGATAAAGAGGGCGGCTTTTTCAGCATATTTTGTAATACTAGTCTGCTTACAGTAAACCTCCACAATGCATGTATGTCCAAATACAAAATGATAAATGTTTAAACTGGTATTAGAGTTTTAACACGGGTATTGTTTTTTGCGTTTATAATGAGACACCCTGTATATGTATGTACAAAGGAAAATAACTGTTTAAATCAACTCACGGGGTTGATCTTGTCCTCCAATTGCATAAATTTTGTCATCGAGCGCGACAGCACCAAACCGTGCACGGGGGGATCGCATACAGGGGCCACTTGTCCAGCGCGAGGAAGCCACATCTAGGATAGCAACACTATCTGTGATAACGCCTTCTTCCATGACACCACCAATGACGTAGATTAAACCGCTCAACTCCAGTGCGACGCAGTCGTATCTACCGCCAGGTAAATCTGGAATTCGCAGATTCTCATTCGCTTCATTCGAATGAAACTCGGTCGGGTCACCGGCGACAGAGCTCATGTCGATACACTGGATGTGTGTTTCATTATAAATTCCGCCAACAACCAACAGTACCTGGAAAGTGAGATGACATCAGATTTGTGGTACGAAAGCAAGGGATGTTTTTCAATAAACAAACAAATCGCTCACAGTTCCATGCCTAGATGCAAGCTTGAACGATGCGCTTGAACTGAGATTACCTTTTTTTAAACCTGTAGCAGAACAACAAAAGGAGATATCATTGATTAATCCGCTTTGGTACTGCTCGCAATCGGACGAGGCTCAAGTTTCTCGGTTGACCAACGGAAAGCAGTATGACGACTGTCGTTGTTCACATTACCGGTCATGTTAGCGCTCCCTGCAACAAAAACACTCAGAAAGTGAAATGTCTGTGCTCGGGCCACGGGAGATATCTACCGATTGTTTGTTTAAGTTCTTTATTGAAATGAACCGGTTGGAAGAAAACCAGGGATATTAGACAGATACACTCATCTGCATACAAGTTTGGTTCCCAGGAGAGGCTCACTTGAATCACACCTGAATCTGTCTGTGGGATGTCGACCAGTTTTCAATAGACTTATGAGTAGTGTGTTGCGTCTGTAAACCTACGACTACTTTGCAAGGTGAAAAAGCTTGTTTTTTTCGGAATTCGCATTTGATGGCGCAAGACTTGGGTTGCTTAAGTAGAGGAAGCGATTCCGTGTAGAAAGCAAGGATGAAAGACTTTCATACTTCAGATTAGAATTACCAAGGTTAGCAAATTTACTCATTCGAATACGCTGGTATCTCTGTTTCCGTAAACCAGTGATTTTAAGATAGTAGCAAGATAGATTTAAAACGTAACTTGATGTGATTGGCTTGTCCCTGCAAAATTGCACGCCAGGCACAATCTTCAGAGTAAATAAAAACCATACCCCACTAGTGTGTCATCCATTTTGTAATTCGGATTGGCGAAGCTCACCCTCTGGAGGCTGGCAATTGCATTCTGTAATGCCGAGGGAAATGGAGCTATGCTGGATGTGTTCTGCAGGGGCGTCGCACTAGGATCCCTCTCGTAGCAAAATATTCCGATATTCCGCGTTTGCCAACATGTTAAATTCGTGCCTAAGACTTACTTAACTGTGGTATGTTGTCCGGTCACATGACTTATCATTCTACTGATGGAAGGCACAGTCCAATTTACGTATTAAGTTAGAAGAATGTAGCATGCTGTTGTGGATCCCATTGATTCACTCCAATAAGCGCATATGTTTGAACGGAGACAAGACTCCTGAAACTTACCGCACAGAGTTCTGTAATGTTTCTGCGAATCCCTGTAGCTAATATGTGTGCCTAATAGAGACCATCTTAATACACATCGTCCGGTTAAGTCTGGTTAAATTGAAAAGCTCAGTGGTTAAAGCGTGACGAGAAACTATTGCCTGCTCCTGTCTAGGCTTGCGCAACCTGGCAGTATCTCAGTCATCGTGGTCCCTTCGTGTGCCACAGCTAGACGATTATAGATATGATTTTATAATCCTGCCAGAAAACCAGTTCTTGTCTGACTACTAACTAAACGATTTCCACTGCGAAACACGTTACACTAGCGAATAAACACTCAGTTGCAAACTAATTTGGTTTTTCGAGAGACTCACCTGGAACCCAGCTGAATCTCTCGTTCGTGATGTTCTCAGGCAACCGAATGTGCCGCACCAGGCTGCCTCATGTTTCAGTCGCTACGATATTCGAGATATCGCGATACACATGTATATCTTTGTAATGCACTACTCATAAGGTTGCTGGAAATCCGTCGACAACCCACGACCGGTTTCACCCTTCCACTTCGGGCTCATCAGGTAGGCGCAGCCCCCGGGTGTCCGTCAACCTTATGTTCTGCTTGAAACCAAATTGCACGAAATTAGCGAATACACACTCATTTGCAAACTAATTTGGTTTTTCGAGAGACTCGCCTGGAACCCAGCTTAATCTATCGGTTTCGATGTTTCCAGGGGACGCGCCTACGTGACGAGCCCCAGAGGGGTGCGAAACCAGTCGTGGGCTGTCGAGGAGATCTCAGCAACCTCATGTGTAGTGCATTACAAAAACACGTTACACTAGGTTTAAGACTCCAGCCATTCAAAAGTATTCAATCCATGGTCTGCAGAATGTAGCTGGACTCACGTGACGTGTTTTTTCACTGGTGGTTTGTGCGGTTCTTGGTGCCGCGTTCTGTCCCTCCATTCCTGAAAAAGTATGCAAACAAAAATGACGAGCAGCTAAAATCGGCATCAGAGTATTGCTCATGAAGAAAAAAACAAACGCAAGGTGGATGGACCGCTGTGATTGGCCCATATTTCGGATGAGCACTCTGTACCCAAATTCACCCAACGAAGCGTACAATATGACACAGTTACCCTATATCTTTTCTCTGAATATATTAGACGCGTTTGAATAAATACAACTTTTTTGACGAACACTTTTATTGTCATGAAATTTCGGGCCACCCATCCCCACCCTCAATCGCATATCACCTCTCCCGGGGCATTATTGTTCCGTGATGTTGGTGATAGATTTAAACAATCGGCAGCACAACGGGGCTCTAAGCGATTTGTGTACATTCTCCACAACTTCAAGTGTAGCAGGGTAACGTCCCATTGGAAGTCACTCAGAGCTTTCTCAAAACGGTAGATCGGGACCGACTGAGATTCGTTGAACAATCACCTCAAAGGCCGAGTACAACACACCTTAGTTTATTTTCAGCCCAGACACGACCAGAAACATTTCCTGATGTGTCCATCAATGTTTTCCAGTCACTTCCGAAAAATTATGTGCTATAACCGATTAAATCATCCACCCAGCTTATCATTTACGGTGCAATGACGTTGGATCGATAATGGTTTAATAAATTGCAGGAAAATTTGAGATTTCAGTTATTCGTGAATGTGCATCCTACCATGTTCTTAGCTTATCTCGTAAGAACGATTTTTTAAAAACGTTCTTTTACTTTGATAAATCCCCTCGGGATGAAGTAATATTGACAAACGTTTGATTGTCGGACGTGCACTGCGCTGTCCTTGCTCCCGATTCATCATAGTTCTGCTCCGAGAAAATTCAAATTGTTAATCACAAACATAAAGGACATGGTCTCAACTTTCATTTTTCGCAAAGAACACTTCACTAAGTATTTAACTGAGCCGTCTGTGATCGCTAATTGTGGACTTCAGCGTGTTGGTCTGCCTTAGGAATTTGGTCTGAAAATTCACCTTTCTGTATGAACTCAAGATTCACTCACAACGGTGGCTGCAGGAAATGAGGAAGTTAAGGCAGCTAGTCTCATTGGATATCCGAAAGATGTACCACGAAATTATCGTCCACGTTCCTTCAAGCAAACCTGTCCTGAAAGATAGAAATGATGAATTTCAAGTTCCTCCAGAAATGAACTTCGGACATCTCCCCAGAATGAAGATCAGATGAGAAAAAAACGAGGAATGAATCGACTTGCACAATTTAACCATTTTGGGTGACAGCTCGTGCTTGGGACATTGTGAAACAGACACTTAGGGGATACGCAAAATGGCTATAAACCTGTCAGGGGTTCAAGACGGATTAGCGTCAGGAGCAGAGCAGACTTGTTAATTTTCTGCAAACTGGGCAGGCGACACCGTATAACAAAAAACACATGTACAACGCGTCGTGTTTGATTGTATGCGGCAACAACATTCTGGAAATTCCGAAGCCTTCTGGGTGCACCAGTGGCAACTGGCATTTAGTAGTCAATCATAGTTAGACCTGAGGCTCTACCGGTCAGCGGCCCTGTCTTCTAATCAATTCCCCCCTGGGTTAAGCATCTTGACAGTAGTAGCTTTTAAAACGATTGTAGCGCGGGACTAGACTTAACGCCCATCAAATACGAAGCCAAGATGTCACTCAGGTCTCAACTTAACCACGTAGACAAGTGAGGGGAATTAAATACGGCACCATAGTTGATAGGCGGCCAAACTGGTCCGCTTTCGTGGCGGATAAGCAAACAACTGAGTCACATATTCAGTCAACCCACTGACGCCTCGACACACAATGAATTTTTCCGCAAAACCCCTGCGGATGAAATAAAAACTTTAACGTCAAAATGTTGCACTTCTTTGCATATATGCTCAGTCTAGGAATCCCACTCATCTGCCGTCATTCTTTTGCGATTTGTTTTAATCGATCTCTTTTGAAAATAATTGGCGTATATTTGGCTTTGAACTTCGTGTGCTATGGCTTCGGAAGTGGCTTTCGTTGAGAAATTTGTGGGTGTGTCGTTTTCGTCCTTCACGGCATTTTAGAAGACCTTAAATGAATACATGGAAGATAACTTAGTGGTATTTGTGCGTTCATCCAGTAATCGAAGCATCAACACTATTTTGCGTTACGAATGGGTGTACTACAAATGCAGCAGGCGCCCTCCAAGACCAACGAAAAGCCGTGGAATCCGAAGAAGCTAGTAAACCGAGCCTGTTTTCTAATAAAAAATGTACGCGAAGCACCAGCTGTCCAGTGCGGTTTTGCCTACGGAGGCAAAGGAACCAAATGGTAGTGACCTCTTATTTCCTGAAGCACAACCACAAACTGTCACAGTTTCTGTACGATCGGCTTCCAGTCAATCGACGCCTAACCGAAGACAAGTTGGGCACATGCAAGTCCCTGCTGAGATATGGAACGCCGTCATCTGAGGTGCGGCAGTTGGTGGCGGATGAATTCGGAAAGATTCTGACCACTAAGGCTAAACACAACTACCGCCGTAAGTGTCGACCGGCTATGTTGAGTAGGTGCCGCATGGTTAGGTTGTAATGTAGCAGATGATATGCCTTCGGTCCTGGCAAAACGTCGGGCGACCGGACGTGTCCTTTTGTGCCAGTCAGAGGAAGGTCACTATAGCCACATATGTTTCTCCCGATGGCAGCAAATAGCGTTATTCCGACGCTTTCCAGATATAGTAAATGTAGACGGAATGCACGCAATAAACAGCCTTGGGCGAGTTTTTAAAAGCATCTAATATTCGGCATTTAGATATAAACTGTACACATTCCTGATAACGGACGGCATGGGAACCGGGCGTCCGGTTATGTATGCGTTTGTAGAGAGCGAGCAGTTTGTTCCCATGCGTAAACTGTTCGGCTTGTTCAAGGAAATGATGGGCGAAGCGTATCCGGTCAGGTCTTCGTAAGTTGGCGGCGCAAATGCGTGCGGCAAGAGTAGTGTTCGGCTGTGACATTATGCTTTGCTACTTTCACGTCCGCAAGGCCATCAGGAAGCACGTATGTATCATTTAATATCCATGTATTTTTGGTCATAGACACACATAGCCGGCACATATTTTTCCGCATGGACAATCCCGTACAGTAGGTTTTATGTTCATCGTATTACAAGCACACAGATTCCGGCAAGACCTGGTTGTACGTCATTCGAAAATGGGCCATACATACACAATTCGGAATGGTTCCTTTCGGTAATGTGACCAACAACCGATTGGAGAATGCGAACGGCCGCCTTAAAGATCGGGTGCACTACTCCGACACGTTGGAGCATGTCATTCAAAAGGTGTCCCGACACTCTGAGTGGCTCATGCGGGAGTTCGAGATGCATACGTCTTACCACTGCGACAGACGGCAAATCCTGAAGGGTAACGCCCACGTTCTAAACGTGGTCTCTCGAATGACGACATATACATGCTCTCTCGTTTTGAGGCACTTGGGTCCGCGACCGCCACGACTGCCGTATGAAAGTGTTGGAACAAACAAGGTGAGGTCGAGCTGCGTAAACTAACTTATAGTTTGTGGTGCAAACACCCAGATGCTCCCAGACTGTTGACACCTGTGCTGAAGAATGCGCATGCCCTTTCTACCAAGCGATATGGCTCCCTGCATACACCTGTTCTCTGTATTTCGAGATCACTCCGTTCCGAATAGTAAGAACTAGTCATCATTGACTTTTCTCAGCTTGCTTTCCAATCCACCAATGATAGCTGTCGGATTACAACCTACCGGAAAAAGGTGTGCCCCTTACACTTGTTCCCAGACCACCGCCGACAGCTTTTGATGGCCTTCGTAAACAACCGAACCGAGTGATGGATTAGCTTCACATGCTGGAACCCAGGAGGGCCGCAGCCATCCTAAAGCAACTGATTGTTGGGGGGCAAATCATGCAGTGTACCCCTATCCGCATGTTAGTCGTGTGCGTCGGTTAAGTTCGTCCATCTGTCTGGTATGAATGACGTATGTCCCATGTTCCTAATCGTAAACCTCGATAATCGATAAACCTCGAGGTCTTCCTAGAATAATCCGCAACCTATAGTGGAAAACTCTGCTTTTTGCCAGCAAAAGTGCACGACGTTTAGCAAATGATTAACGTGCACTACGGAATTTTTTCTGGCAACAAAGTATCATCGACCAAAATTTGTTTGCTCGAATGCACCTACACACATGTTGCATCTCCAAAAGCCATTTAGATTCTAAAATGTTGAGGAAATTTCCTCCGGTGGGGAAAATACCTGGAAGTTACGTTTATTGTATGTGAGTCAACGTTTTCCACAATTCGCGATTTTTTATCGTCAGGTAACGTATTCACAGTCGGTGGTGTTTATTGACCTTGAGAATTCGCTCACTTAAACAAATCGCCATAGCAAATGATTTTCAGTTATGCAGGAGCATATACATTGTACACAGACATTCTACACTATGAAGTGGCAAGTCTAAAAATGCCGTAGATTTCGAGAAATCAATCTCATTGTGCGAATAGCCAGTGGCAGTCAACCCACAACTCAGTCACGTGAGCAAATCAATCGGACACGCACTCAATCAGCCATTCAAGTCACACGCCAGATCGATGGTGGAACGACAAATGGACTGACACGCGCAAACTCTCTGACACGTCGAAGCAGCTGCTACATTTTATCGTCCCCGCATGACTGTGGGATGTTTATTCTGAACGTTTGAGTTTAAGCGGTATGCAGTCAACGTGATCTTCAGGAACAATACCGAATTACTCAACGCCCGCATCAACTGGGTTGATCTACGGCTTCAGGTAGCCACAAAGAACGCTATTTGGCCGTGTTAGATGATAAGATATTGCGGTCAGAAATTTTATCCGGCCTACGAAGAGGAGCAACAGCTGATTTGCGGACAAAGTTTACTACACTACAATCCTGTGAAAAGTCCAAATATGAGAGACAATCCGTCTCCCGGTATAACAAATGATTGCGAGGCGAGTGACGATGTATCTTCGTCGTTCCGCCTGCGCTTATCATGATGAAACGTGTGTGCGCAATTCCCACATTCACGTTACTGGACTTCGGGGGAGCTTAGCTTTGTTTAATTCCGGTGCCACTATCCCTGAGGT